GCACACGCCATGCTACACTTCAATACGCGTTTTACAATACAGAGACTTTGCAGAGCCTGGGTAAAACGGTTCGACATGCCAGCACTGCTGTAGCATTCGCACTCCTCAATCAAACAACTTACCAACGGCAACTATACCCATCAGGAACGGCTCTCCGGATGCACCGAAGTCCACCGTGGTGTGATTGTGTATCTTAGAGCCAACTACAAACGCAACAACAACCTATAGTGAACCAGATGCGGAAACACAACACAAAAATCACGGTTCGCTTGAGACTCAGTTAGACTGAGTTTTCAGCATCCGTACGAACGCCACCACCCTGCAAAGATCAAAGGCGCAGATGCAGCTCCTAAAGTGATGGGAGGTCAGTAGATCAGCCCACCGGCAACACAATAAGAATATGCTATTCTCAACAATGATTTAAAAAGGTCTGGTGGGAAAGGGGGTGCCGTACCCACTAAAACACATGCATTGAGAACTGCTAGTGATACAGTGCTGCTCAAGGAAATCCGACCGCGTGAGTCAAGTTTGTGCCCCGCACCAGTGCACACTGTGACAGCCCAGTGTTCGCAGGTCTAGGGCTGTACAGCGCCCGGCATGGCGTACTTGACTCGCTTGATCGGGTTTCATTGAGTAGTACTGTCCTGTAGTAATCTGTGCAAGCTGAGTTCATCACAGGACAATAAGTAAGAAGGAAAATCATCACGTTGGGAAGCCAAACAACACAGTAGGGAAAGCTGCAGATAATCGTTCTACACACATAGAAGACAAGCACAATGAATGGCGCACCGTCACAATAAGGATTCCTCCTTTCAGTAGGGTCATGATGGACACAAGTGGTTTGACGATGACTTGAGCGAAGACTATTGCCGCAACGTTGGTCCACACGAACACAGGGATGACCAGCTTCAGAGAACTACACGAGGAGAAAGAACAGCAAACAGCACCACCATCAACAGTGTTCTGCTCCCCCACCATGGCAAACCGTGTTGTGTTCGCACGTAAAAGCAGCTTTGTCATCATGAACAGTAGCAGCAACCATAGCAGCCATGCCGACTCAGAAATATTCTGACACAAAAGCAGGCAAGTGACTCGCAACACAACTTGCAAACGTTCATTGAGATACTTGAACTACGTGTACAAGTTGCAGCGCCTTCGCTGCTTGCACAGAAGTACAACGGCAACAAGCAGTGTCTCTGATGGAAGTCGAGCACACCTGAAAACATGATACATTTTATGAAATGTGAACATGCTACATACTGTACCTGATGTGAAAGAGCTGCTGGAATGCTTGACTGCCAGCCAATGAGTAGCCAGTCAGGAACGCCACACTGAAAACAAGCCAATCGACATAATAAACGCAAAGAGATAGCAGTAGAAAGTGAGTTGGTAACAATTATGTGAGCAAGAGAGTGAGTGTGTGGGTGAGTGAGTGAGTGAGTGAGTGAGTGAGTGAGTGCGTGAGTGAGTGCGTGAGTGAGTGAGAGAGTGAGTGTGTGAGTGAGTGTGTGAGTGAGTGAGTGAGTGCATGAGTGAGTGAGTGAGTGAGTGAGTGCGTGAGTGAGTGCGTGAGTGAGTGCGTGAGTGAGTGCGTGAGTGAGTGAGTGCGTGAGTGAAAGAAGAGGTGAATGAACAGCGAATGTTGAAGGGACATTAGGAGGGTAAGGGAGGAGCAACAGCAAACCAGGAAAGCATGCTTGATCCACAGAGACAAGAAGACTATAATTGCAGTACATGTACTGTAAGTAAGCAGACATTGCATCAGCAGCTGTGATGGATCGATCAACATACCAGAATTCTAGGACAGTTCAAGCTCAGGTATATACAAGTACAGTAAAACCTGGTGTAAGCGACCTCTGGGTTTAGCGACCACCTGCTCTTAACAACCGTTTTTCTATGCACCGACAGTTCTACATGTACACAGACACTGTGGGACCTGGTTCTAAAGACCACCTGGCTTTAACGACCGCTTTTGCTTGCACCGTGGGGTGGTCGCTTAAACCAGGTTTTACTGAAATTTAAAAGTAGGTGCCTCATTTTCTCTGTGCTGCGCTGAGGAGTCCACAAAGGACGAAACAGTTCTGTCCCCAGACTGAGACTAATTTACGAGTATAAAAGAAGACATACAAAATAAGTATACAATACTCAGCACACAGCACACAGGCAAACAACTGTGATCAAAACGCTACCCAGACCGACCAACTTACAATTGAACTAGAATGACCAAGTCGAATCCGTACTTTGCCCAGGGACCTAAAAACAGCCGACCCATGTTGTGCAGATTAGGCTGAAGACTTTCATCATCACCAGCACTTGAAGGCCTTATCGGAGTGCCCTTGACTAAAAGAAAACAAGAAGTTGCACAACAGAGCAGCAGCAGCAGCAGCAGCAGCAGCAGCAGCAGCAGCAGCAGCAGTAAGAATGGCAAGAAGTGGACAATTGGGTTATTGTACAGTCTGGCCTACACTCATTGCAGTCACACTCAGGCCCACACTCATTGCAGTCACACTCAGGCCCACACTCATTGCAGTCACACTCAGGCCCACACTCATTGCAGTCACACTCAGGCCCACACTCATTGCAGTCACACTCAGGCCCACACTCATTGCAGTCACACTCAGGCCCACACTCATTGCAGTCACACTCAGGCCCACACTCATTGCAGTCACACTCAGGCCCACACTCATTGCAGTCACACTCAGGCCCACACTCAGGCCCACACTCACTACCGTAAACTTCCCCTAATCCAAACTACCCAGATCCGGGCATTCCCGTCTAACGGGCACATTTCTGACCCATGTAGAGTCACAAAATTGGCTTCTCAACGAAAACTATTGACTGGCGTAAAAAGTGTTTACTTGCATGCAGTAAGTATTCAACACAGCCGAATGGTGCCGTTCACAGTTTTATTCGGTATTTAAAGTAGGTGGCATGTTCAATTGCTCTGAGTTACAGGCAATTCCTAGTTACGAGTAGTGCCCAGCCCCAACCTGAACGGATACAGCAAGTTCTACTGTACAATCCTGCTCAGGCCGTCACTCAACATACACGTACACCATGCCAGCAGGTCAGCTTGGTAAATACAGAGCTTTGCCTCATCCACTGTTTACAATAGGGGATTTATGCCAGCACTAACCTGGAGATTTGAACGGGTTGCTCTCCGCTTCATCTTCTTCACTACTGCTCTCCTCTCTGGACAGTGCTTTGCCACCCAGGGATTGTAGAGAAATGTCGTTGCCGGATGATGTAGAGACTTTCTCCTGGGGAACACAGGAACATTGGCAGAGTATGACTGGAATACAGCAGTAAACTATGGGTGTTTCTTCATCCAATATTCATAAATTTGAGGGAGCGGAAATGGGAAAAGTCTCAAAATCTAACAACACACATCGGGACAAAACACGGGCTCAAAAATACCAAAACCTACAGACGTAGACACAGTACTGTTTGACTTGTATGGTACACACTATACAGCAGATGTATAGTATGACAAACACGGACACACAACATTACTGCCTACCTGGGCATCCTGCAGTAGGTGATGGCTTGTCTTTTGAAGCAGATCGACGAAGAAATAAATAAGTACCACCTGCAGCATACCAGCGAAGGTAAAAACATGAGATATCAGCCAGATCCGCCGGTGTAACAACATACACTATACGAGCACGTGTGCGGAAAGAGATCGAGCATTCGGTGAGTCTAGTCTGCAGCCCAAGTGGGCAAAGGTGGCCCTAAAAATCCTATTTGCCTTTATGGGGTACCAAGTGCTGGGCTCCTGGCATGGTGCTGGCCGTTGCATGAGTCCATACAAGAGGGTGGACTGCCACCCTTCAAACTGTGAACACCACCTTTTTATATGCATAATACGTACATCTCATATAGCAGCACAGCATACAATGGCAAAATTGTGGGTCCAATGATCCCCCCCCCCCGCCCTTCACTTCTGTTCTGACTATAACCCTGACAATACGGCACCAACCTGTATCAGGAATGTGGCGACAAATGTGACTAAAAACGGAGTGAGTCCGGAGTTGGATAGAGTTACGGGTAGGCCTGTTAGCACAATTGCAATCCAAAACAGAGAAATCACTGCTTGAGAAGGAACATAAACACAGAAATGTGACTTGCATATCATACAACTAAAGCTGTGTTCACAACTGGCGCGTGGACGCGGTACGCTTGCGGTTCATGCGCGCCCATACGCGCGCTCAAGCTTTCACAAAAAATAGCAATCCGAGTCGTATTTAGCGCGTGCGACACCTTCGAGTACTAGTTTTTTGACCCCGCCAGTCAAAGTGACTGGCATGTACGCTGGTACGCGCCTGATATGCGCTGAATTCCAACATGTTGGAATTTCCATTTCGGCGCGTTTCCGTACGCATGACGCCCCAAAAGCCGGCAAAATACGCACAAACGCGTGGTTTCACGCGTACACGCGCCAGTTGTAAACACAGCTTTACACGTACACCGTAGTCTCAGGCGTAGACTTCACTATGTTAGAAAGGTTTCGACCGCGTGATTTGTGCTCTTACGTGAACGTCAATTTTTTGCGTTGACGCGAGCTCAGAAAGAGCTTTCGTTTCACGTTGCTTGTGAAGCACATCGTTTCGCTGACGACAGGAGCCAAAACTGGGAGCCAAAACTTCCAAACGTGAAAAAAGCGATTTCTGGCGAGGCCAAAGTCGCACAAATATTATTTATAGCTAGTTTAGGCAAAATCGACAAAATCGAGTCAATAATTCCAACCTGATAGCAAGGCTAAATTTGCAAAAACTCGCGTTAACGTCGAACGTGAGTTGACCTCAGCTCACGTCATGAACGGGAGTTTCGACGCCAAAATTTGCCACACCGACGTGAAATTTCACGGTGTAGTGCAGAACAACGTGAAACGAAACCTCTCTATTTACTTGATCCGCCTGTAGCAACGCGTTGTTGCTACAGTCAATTCACACACGTCCGGGCATGTCCGGACAGATTTCAAAACGGAAGGACATTTGTCCGAGCTAAATGAAATCCTTAAGCTATGCCCTGAAACAAGTACGTATTCATGTAAAGTTGCGCTCGGTGAAATTCGACCCTAAGTGCTAAGCTGGCGCCCTGGACTAGTGCCGATTACATCATTGTATTTGTACATGTGTATGTCCAGCCGGCCGCATTCGTGCCACTTCCAGGGTGTCAAGGGCATGCTAGTTGAGAGCGCCAAGCATGCACTCTGGGTAGGATTTCATCGAGCGCAACTGTAGTAATAGTAGCACGACATGCATAGACACACAGGCATTGCTATGCTTCAATAACAATGTTCACAACCAGGAACCAATGTTTGAATGACCACTGTTGGGCATAAATCAACTTTGAAGTACCGTAAAGTCTTGTATAAAAGCCGCAGCTTCTATGACTTTCTTGGTGAAATTTTGCAGGCTTCTATACAAGACAGGTATTTCTATGTATGTCAACGCTAAAACCAGGCTTATGTGTGATTTGATGGGCCCAAAATTGCGGCTTCTATTCGAGGGCGGCTTTTATACAAGACTTTACGGTACATGTGATCAAAAATCCCACAGAAGACGAAGAAGTCGAGTGCAATGCTACTACTGAATATGAAATTATGAATAAGGCCAAAACAAAAAATAGGCTTGTTTCCGGTCGGCAACCCCTCAAAAAGGAGACTCGGTCGGCCGGAATGAAACTTTTTTTGAATACTTTTTTTTGGTTCCTCAATCGTTGTGGTAATGATGGACAAGAGCACCTACATAATTATACACATGTACATTGTACATATATCATGGCAAGGATCAATGTCAAAGTAACAGTTGACTGACTCACTGTTCTTGTACAGCATGTGGTGTATTCCTGTTTTCGTACATCCTGAGAAATCAAGCAAACAGTTCGAGTCCTTCCAGCTCCGTTATTCTAGCTCGTATCGACCCCATAGGTTTTCGAGCCGACAGCTGAGAATCTCTGCTACCTTGTAGGTGTTTCGATTGTGGAATTCGGTTGAGATTTGACTGAGTTATGACTCGTTGAGTGCACTTGCACACATGGCATTGCCACCGTTTGTATACATTTGGGACCAAAAAAAGTTTCAGAATTTGGGAAAAAGTGGCCCGGTCGGGCGACCGGAAACAAGGTCATTATTTGTTTTGGCCTAAGCATTATGCCTTGTGACTTAGTAGCAACAAATGTAGGAAAGTTATGGGGTATTCACACGACAGGCAAATCCACGTGCACCGGAACGTTGCTATGGTATTCCACCTGTGAACGAGAAAAGTGCCTGAAAAGTGAAGGCGAGCTGGGGGCCCACTTTCACGATTATCTTGGCGTGCACAAGTACTTTTGACACCAAAAAGCGCGACACAAGACCTGCGCGAAATTCAACCGAAACTGAAAGGTGAAAGGTCACGACAGGTCAAAACAAGTGGTTCTCCCCCGTTTCTCTGTCCACCTTGTTGTTTCCGAGTTTTGCAGTGTTGCCTTGCCTTGTAGCCTTGCCTTGTAGTGTTTGCCTTGTAGTGTTTTGTAGTGTTTGCCTTGCCGTAGATTTTATTAAAGATGGGAAAGACTGTGTTCTCTGACCATGCCGAAAAAAGGTTCCTCATTTTGTGGGGAGAGATGCTGAAATCGTCAGACAAGAAGATGATGTCCCGCAAAGAGAAAGTCGGCATTGTCACAAGGAATCTCAACACCTACATGGCTGAAATCGGAAGCAAAGAAATGTACACTGACCAGCAGGTCAATCACAAGATCGATTCCGCCAAAGTGAAAGGCCCGGAAATGTATAGACGATATTTCAAGCTCCCGACGGGATCAAGTACAGCCGAAATTGACGTAGATCTTTCTGAGGCATACACCTTGTGGTCGAATTTCCGCACGTACCATCAGTGTTTTTCGGAGCACCCGACATGGGGACCTTCAAATTCCCTGGAGATCGCTGCTGGTGAGTTGAACAAACAGAGACGTATTGCCGTGAATTGTTACTGCCATTTACATCAGAGAAACTTGTAATATACTGATTATTCTTGCTGCTTTCACAGGGCGTGCAGCCACCTCGTAGATCCCGAGCCCATGAAATGCTCAAAGAACGGATCAGAAATTCCAATAGGCGCAAAGAAAATGACGATTTTCTCCTGACTCCACGTCGTCGTTGCAGACGCAACATTTGGCAAAATCCTGTCGAGCTGTTCCAGACCATGTCTAAATTTCCGCTTGGCAGACGGTATTGGACAGCGCATCCAGCTGGAGACGACCTTAGGATGTGGGAGAACGAGGTGACTGGTGCTTGGGCACGTCTCGGTGAAAAATAACCGGATGTTGAAGAGCTAAAGTATGTGGAGAAGTTCAGATTGAATAAATCAACATTCAATCGTCTTCTTGCCAAACTCCGACCAGCTCTGGTGAGACAAGATATTGTCATGCGTTCAGCGACATCTCCTGCCAAGAGGCTGGCAATATTCCTGCATTGGATGGCAAGTGGTGAGGAGTACCACAACGTGGCATCCAACTATTGTATTGGGACGTCAACTGTCCATGGCATTGTCCACCAAGTGCTGCCTTTGATCAGTGATCTAGCTGAGCAGGAGATCGTATTCCCGACTTCTGCCGGGTCCCTAGAAACTACGTCAAATGGCTTTGAAAATCTTTCCGGTCTTCCCGGTTGCTGCGGTGCGATCGACGGCATGTTTGTGCACATCAATAAACCACTTCACTACGGAGATGCGTATTATTGCTATAAGCAGTATCCGGCAATTTTGCTCCTTGCTTGTGTGAACAGCACTGGCCTCATGACGTATATAAACAGTGGATTGCCGGGTTCGACAGGTGATGCAGCTGCGTACAATGGCAGCATGCTCAAGGCCAATATCGAGAATGGTCAGTGGTTGGCAGGTGCAAGCGCAGTGGCTGATGGGAAAAGCATTCCTCTGTACCTGGTTGGAGATGCAGCGTTTGCCTTTTCACCCGCAATGATGAAATGCTATTCTCACCCTGCAACTGCTGCCCAGAAGACTTTCAACGACTGTTTGATCAGGACAAGGAGAGTAGTGGAGAATGCTTTCGGCAGACTCAAAGGTCGCTGGCGTATACTTGTGGCCAATTTCATGCGCGACGCTCAATTCGCAGCAAATGTCACTATTGCAGCTTGTGTGCTGCACAACATCTGCGAGCGCTCATCATGCACCTTTGACAATGACTGGCTGGTCAGTGATGATGCATGCCGCCATGGTAGCCGCCTAGAAGCAATCAATGAAGCCGTTGATACTGCAACAGCTGAGCAAATTCGCACCGCGCTGGCTAATCATGATGTGGCTATCCACGGTGTGCACTAATTCTGTCTCTCTCTCTCTCTCTCTCTCTCTCTCTCCCCCTCCCTCCCTCCCTATCTATCTATCTATCTATCTATCTATCTCTCTCCCTCTCTCTCTCTCTCTATTTCTTTCTCTCACTCTCTCTCTCTCTCTCTCTCTCTCTCTCTCTCTCTCTCTCTTTCTATTGAGACATTGCTCTTTGCTGCTGTCTTTGACCAAACAAATAAACTACAAACGCTCGAATGAAGAAGATGCACCAGGACCGTGTGGACCACGTGGATTTTCTGTATCTTCGCGCGCGACCTTTGAAATGCCCACGGCAACTGGTGGGAAATCATTCAAAAAGGCAAACGTGCATGTCGTCGAGCGCAGCGGAGTGAATCCACACAGTCACTTTTCTGATGGATCACTTGCCGTGAAACGTACAAGTGCCTGTCGTGGAATACCCTATTAGACAAGCGTCATGCCAAGTCTGCAACCTTGCAGAACTGTAGCCCTCCTACAATCAATGTACTGTAGAACGGGTAATTTTAGCGACGTAAAAACCCTAGCGAATTTAGCGATCGACTCGTTTTCGCTAAAGTTTCAAGTCGCTAATCCGTTGAGACATTAGTAGTGCACTGGTAATCCGTGAGTAAAATCGCTAAAATAAAACGTCACTAACCGGTTGACAATGGGAAAACGCTAAAATTAATAGTCGCTAAAATTACCCGTTCTACAGTACTCGAGTCATCTTTTTTTTCACCATGACTAATACTAAAACATTGAGACAATGACGTAAAAGAAGCCAAAGCATAAGATACCGTAAGTGCACTTACCTAATATGCCAGTTCCCAGGACAGATGCAATGGTCAAGAAATCTGAATAGCAAATTCAAAGAAAGAGGAATGAGTATAACAAAATTCCACATCAGGCTTGATGAGCGCATCACCATGCTTGGCTGGAACCTGTCCCCGGGGAAAATTGCGGAAAAAAATCGCAAAAAACGCGGGGAAAAACGCGGCATAATATGGCATAATTTGCGGTGAATTTGCGGTAAATATGCGGTAAATATGCGGTGAATAATATTGATGTGCGGCAATTTTCAGTGAGTATGTAGTGAAATCAATCAGTTACAAGTCTCTGGTGTAAGCACTCGTCATATTTGAGTAAAAAGCCGCCACGATGAGACGTTGCTGACCGAACAGTGCACTGTGTGTACGTGTAGTGCAACAAAAAAGTTCAAAAAACGCGGGAAAATCGCGGAAAACGCGGTCTTTTAAAAAATCGCAAAAAACGCGGAAAAAAACGCGGCCGCGGAATTGCAATTTTCCCCGGGGACAGGCTGGAACCCATAATGTACTTCCGCATTCGAGGGTGGTCTATTAGAATCAAAGTGCTGTACTACCACAGGCTGTACTGCCACGGACTACTGGAGAGCAAAAACGACAAGTACCGTATACCAAGCTCTCTCCCCCACGGACTATCGACTTTCTCAACAATGGCAACAGGCAACTGGTGGTGATTCCATCCCACAAAAGACAGGAGTGCATCGGACTCAGTAACACGTTATCCCATGCCAGCAATGCATGTGTATAATCTACAACGCTGTTGCCAAATTATCAAGATCTTTTTCACCCTGCCCATTGCGTTTATATCTTTTTAAGCCTTCAGAAATTTTTCAACGGTAAAATATTATCTCAGTGTTTAAATTACAGTATTGGACTTGAAGAAGTTGGTTGCTCCCAACGTGGAGCTTACACTTCCTGCCGAAATGACTTGCACTTGACTGACTCACAAATGTTATCTGGAGCACATGAGGCAAAGGTCGAACCTTCCACCCTGCAGGCCTGCAAAAAAAGCACCACTTCCTGCTAAAACAGAGTGTTGAATTTATCCAACATCACTTGCGCTTGAGTAGGCTAATGAGATTGTGCTTCAGTAGCCCTACACGTTATAGTGCTCCAACAGCCCAAACATCACAAGGGATACAAACTTGCTGTGACACTCCATTTCCAGCACAACAAACACCTCGTGGGGCCTAGGTAGCAGAAAGAGTCAGTGTCGCCCAAGCAGTGGTGAGAAACAGGCGCTGAGGGCCACTGACCACTCACAATGCTATCACCTCCAACATCTAGTTGTATGCTCACTTGAGGGGCAACAATACAAAGTAGTCATGACGGCTTTGGTGGTGGTAAATGAAGAAGTTGGCTGTTCCTAACGTGGAGCTCGCGCTTCCTGATGCGTCCTGCCATATTATCCCTCCAGCAGGCATGCAACCAGATGTTGGAGGTGACAGCATTGTGAAAGGTCAACGACCTTCAGTGTCTTGCTTCTCACCAACACAAGGGTGCTGCCGGCTCGCACTGCTGCCTGGAGCTTCACAAGGTGCTTGCCACACTGGAAAACAGGGCACCTTGTAAGTTGGTAGCCCAAGGACATTGCAGTGATGTTTGGGATGCTGGAGCACAAAACTCCATTCGCCTACTCAAGCTTAACTGATGAACCGTAAGTTCCCCGAAACACTGTGCACTGAGCAGGGAGTGGTATTTCCTTGTACGTGTTAGTTTGCCAAGAGGAAAGTTTGACTTGCTTCTCGTATACTCGGGGTGGCAGTCATGAGTCAGTCAATTGTCAGTCACTTCGGCAGGTCCGAGCTCCACTTCTTTGAGCAACCAACTTCTTCAAATGATTACTGTCGAAGTCACTATTTCTAAGTTTATGAAGTCTGGGGTTTGTTCAAAATCCAAATTGGACATGACTGTCACGTGTGTATGATTGTATGCATATGAAATTTCATTTAATTGAATTGGTGAATGTGACGACAAACACGTATGATCATGTGCCACTTGTAAAAAAATGCAGTTTGGAATAAAATGCACATGCATAAACGCCCTCTACTCACAAGCCTGAATATAGACGAACGCTGGTGATGACAGGAATGCCCGCTTCCGAGCCATTTTCCACTAATAGTTCACCACGTGGAAACGCTACAACTTCTAAACTGTCAATGTCACTTTCTGGACTAACTGAAACACTGTGGCCTGTGGGGTGTCCGGGTAGTTGACCAGCCAGATACGACTTAGAGGTGGCATGAAATCATATTCCACAGAGTGACATTTTATCAACATCCTTCCTCCATCTCGTCACAACCCGACCGGGATAGAAGCCGCTTCAGTCCACCACCAACATGAACAGCTTGCCACAATTCGGAACAAAGACAAGCGCAGGTATGAACTACCAATCTGCACCCAAGCTACAGACGTAAAGCGATAGACGCTGAGTAAAGTTGACTCTCACACGCTGGCGAGACACCCAAGAATGAAAGAACTAGTAAGGAGTAGCTTGACTTCACAGATGAAATACTAGAAAATTGCTTCTACCTCGACAAAAGGTCCGAAGTTTGAATTGTAAAAAACCAAAAGAGTTGATGATTCAATTGAGCAAAGTGAACACGGGGAACGCGTACCGGCCCTACCGGGCCGGGGGAAGGCGATTTTACATGACATCATCATCTCGACGTGGCAAGACTTATGAATCACCAAAACCATTATCTTCACTTCAAAAGTTCAATCCATCAGTCTACTGTATACAGCAGGGAGTCGTAAAAAGTATTTTACGACTCCCTGGTATACAGTAAGTAGACTGATGGAGTCGTGACTGACATGCTGACATGTGCCTGTAACGTGTTATTGGTTATTCAGTACTGCAGTGTCAATATTCACGAGCACCAGCACAATAGTCATACCAGTAACACCCTGGAGGTGATGTACTGTATACCACTCGTATACGGGTATTATAGACAGACAGTGCTCTGGTGCAAGTGCAGTACAGAATTTTTAATATGTAACCGCAGGAGTATCCGTGGGAGGAGACACTTGCCGCATCCACATGTGCAACGATGAGCAGAAACAGTACAGCAAACCGTACACGACATAAACAAACCAAATTGAGATATGAATATCACAGCCGGGAATGACGTAGGAAGGGTGTCCACGCATGCGTGTAGGTAGACGAAATAATCAAGGAAACTGAGCCTGGGAAAACGGCAAATCACGTGTACAAGTATGGTACCAGACCAAAACGTTCTAAAAAGTGATAAAAATTGCATTGCAATATGTTTACATCCGTGTCGTAGGAGAAAGGGAGTTATGCCAATGTAGGGCTGGTTAGATGAAATAAAATTGAAATAAAAATGTAGTTTATATGAGCTGAATAAGGGATCACTGAGCAACGCATTCATATGTACACCATGCACTAAAGTAGCTGATACCAACTAGGGACGAAATGAGGGAAGCACCAGCAGCACCAGCAGCACTATCATGCAAGGCAATCAGAAACGAGACGAAACTCAAAAGCAAACTAGACAACTAGACAGCAGTGCCACAGACGATGAACACAAACGAGAAAAGAGGCCACGAGTGAACTGCCGATTGCCGGAGGCTAAGGTGAAAGCAGACTCCCCCGGCTAAGATAAATACCATTTTGCGAGACAAATCATTAATAATATAAAAATGCGCTGGAATCACACAAATGCAAAGAGCGAGCACAAAAAAATCAAATTTGACAAAAATCACAAGAGCAAAAAGTGCCTAAGACAAACGCCAATGTACAACAGCAACTAGCTAGAGATACAGTGCTGAGACTCTGATACAAAACGGTCAAGTCAGAGATCAAACGAGGAGACAACAACGGTGGAGAGCACTCTCACGGCCAGTTGTGGTACGTGAATTTCCGCCGGCTGCGGTGCAAGGTGAACGGAGACAGCCAGGATATAGACAGTGGACCGCCACACACTTGTCGAAAACTATCACATCTAGAGAAGAGCAGCGGGTAAAATAAGAACAAAATTGCGTACCAACAGGATAGCAGTCACTCAGTTAAAAAAAAAAACAAGAAACACATGAATGTTCACCAGGAGTGAAAAAGGAAAAACCAGTCAGTTATTTCATCGAGTGGCTTGCAAACAGTCGAACATCGATTACTGCGAAAAGATGTCATAAAACATTCCACCGCGGGCCGAGAGATCGCGAAGTTGCACACTCTGTGTGATTATGCACTACAACCATAGCAATGGGTGGCAGGGCATTTAATTAATGACCAACCTCACACTGTGTAGTCACATGCATGCACAGCCGCAAGCATGCACCCAGGTGTTCTGACTAAAATTGATATGCACCTGTAGTCACATACTAGATACTGGTGCACATACTGGTGCATATCAATTCGTGGTATCCCAATATCTGACCAGGGACTCGGCCCAGAGGGGGTCGGGTAATCGGTGTTCAATTGCACTACTTGAGCGCACTGCAATGACATGTACGCATCGGGCTAAAGCGAGAACCCAACAAGAACAACATTGAAGGTAGAAGGGTTACTTACACTGTCTTCTTCCGCCAGCCATCTTCGCACTTCATTTTTTCAATTCCCTGTTACACAACATCACACGGCGAATAAAAAGAGAATTGTCAAAGGCACATCCAGGCTCCGGAAGCCGTCAATATAATGAAACCCTGACAGGACACTTTTCCCTGACATCCAGGCCATGTACCGACAGACAGTGCACATACCACGGATACAGTACACGCATCATCGAGGATGTGTGCAGCCCCTATACCACTGCTGTCCTAACCAAACGTTCACTCGACCAGTTTGTCATCATTCATGAGGGCTAACATTAAAAGGGCCATCCGTAAAGATATTTATTTAGAAACGAAACTAGTCGGGGGGGGGGGGGGGGGGGTAGCCGGCTAACCATTGGCTGAGCGCTCTGATATAGTGAAGTTCCGGGCTGCTGCATAATCCGCTCCATCATGGACATTAATGATATAACTATCTCTTGTAGTCACATGTACAAAAGATAAACAACACCGGAGAATATTACCGTTTCGTCTGCCATGATGCCGCAGACTTGTGTGAAAAACATTGCCATACAAAAAAGTGCAAAAAGGAACCCTTCAATAGCTAAGAGTATCATCAAGACAATCACCGATGCTTCGTTGAAAAGCAGACATCCTGGAAAGTGAAGAAAAAAAAACAAGGAACAACTAGGAGTCATGCCAGAGACCAAAATCAAACACAATTTAATTAATACACATGCAAAAGATGCAAATCTGAGATGGGAAAAAGTCGGGGGAAAAAAGAAAAAGAGCGTGCTCCCAGCAGGGCTCGAACCTGCGACATTCGCGTTATTAGCACGACGCTCTAACCGACTGAGCTATGGGAGCTCATGCAGCACCATGTGTAACGTGAGCACTTTGTTACATCCTCGGACTAAAAACCGGAAGGTGTGGGGGGGGGGGGGCGGGTGCGGGAGGGGCGGCATAGAAGAACTCCAAATTGATACACTGTACTGGTGACTTTATCAGAGCAGGGACGTGCCTCGTTGACACACCAGAGATAGAATGCAACCAGTCACAGAAGCAAAAAAACAATCCGTACCTTGCCATTTCTGGTATGAACATGAAAGAGCACGTGAAATTGTCATGTAGACACCAAGTACGGACAGAGCGAATATATACAGCTGTATAGGATCCGGACACACAGGATAGCAGGCACATAGTTTGCATTGGCCATGGCACCGTTGTACACATAGAAAGAGTAGGCGACACTGAATACAAATACCTCACTTGTGGTAAACTCTACACGAAATAACTCACTTGTGGCGACACTTCATACAAAATACCTCAGATAAGTGTGCAATTGCAAAACTACTTTACTATATCCTCCACCCATCACCCGTCACTCTGTCGCAATATTTTATTGTGAAACTGTAAAACCTCTATAATAATGTTCGAGGACTCTCCAAAGGCAACATGATGCCAACGTGTACCAATCAGGTTATAATACGCCCCACCCCATGTCATGACTTTGTTGTAATGCAGGGTGCATGCGTACACTGAAAGAGAACTCAAGAAGAGATAACAATTATACGTCATCGTACCGTAAAGAGGACAAAGTATTTCTGATTGTTTTCGCCGACGCAGTTGTTGACCCTGAACACAAAATGAGAAGAACACCACACAGTTGAGTGAGGGGCAATGCTTTCAGCAGTTTTGCGGCAAAAAGAGCTTGAAATAAAGCAATAACCACTCTCATTCCAAGACGTGCACCTCCTCAGGTAAAGGATTCCATGCGAACATGGCTTGAGGGCTGAAGTAGCACTGTACATGCACCTTGATGCAAACAACAATATCCTACCAAGTCCAGAAGCTCCTTTGCGCAAGTACACGTACATGTCGAACAACATACTCCTACTACGCAACACAGAGTAGATACCATGCGGGCATGCGCATTAAGACTGATACAAAGTGTTTTCTCAAAAATACATTTCTATTTTCTAACGCTGATTTATCTGTGTAAAAGTCGCTGAATTTGGGGCTGAGATGCGAGTGAAAACACACTGCAAAATGAAGGTCAATAAGTGATAACATTGTTATACTTTCTCACTTGCACTTAAGTCGGCAGGAAAACCGCGAGCTCCCATGTAGGGAGCAACACACTCTTCCCCTACTATCGCCGAAGTCGCACCAACCTCTTCTTCACATTGTTATACTTTGGTCCCAAAAAAGAGGGAAAGTGATCGAAGAAGGCTCCTCTGCTCGTTCATTAGTGAAGAGAACCTAAAATTGGTGTAAAAAAGTGTTCATTCATTTCAACCCTAATAAACAAACACACATAGTCTCTCTTTCTTTCTTTCTTTCTCTCTCTCTCTCTCTCTCTCTCTCTCTCTCTTTCTCTCTCTCTCTCTCTCTCTCTCTCTCTCTCTCTCTCTCTCTCTCTCTCTCTCTGTCTCTGTCTCTGTCTCTCGCTCTCTCTCTTCTCTCTTACCATGGGCAGTGATGATCCATTTTCCTGCACAAGACCAGCCACAAACAAACGAAAGAACACCGTACACGGTCAGATATGAAACACAGCGGTGCACATAAAGACTGATATGATCGCACATACTTCTTAGAACTGGCACATGAGACCATATGAGACCGTAGAGCACGGTTTCGGCAAGTCTATGTTGTACGCGGAATCATGCTATGAGAGCCATACGATGCAAACACATGCACACCCATAGATACAGGCACAGGACAGTTGAAGAGGAGTCAACAGTTTTGCTACTTACATTATACAGCGATTACACACACTGGAGACACACAAACAAAGGTAGAGCACAAAAGAAGAAGAAGGAAACGATAACTCAACAGCCTCTCAACACCCAGTCCTTATTAGTACGGCTTAATTATTTACCCAAACTTTCAGAAACTGAAAAAAGGCATAAAGAACATCCCCTCCCCAGCTTTAATTCTGGAAATGGGTCCGTTCCAGTTCGAGATATTTCGGAAGGAGTCCAAGAGCAATTAACAACAGAATAGACTGTATTCCACGTAAACCCAAAAATAGCCAGTACTTCTGAAGTACATTACAAAACTTACTCCCTCCCGAAATAAAAACTTCGTGACCATGTTTTATTCACATTCTAAGGAGTTTTGCGCTCAAAAGGTTTGGTTCAGTGGAACAAATCACTTCAACATTGAGTGGACATATTTGCTTGAAGCATGAATACTACTAAAAAAAGAAAATGGCATTGTTTGGGTCTCATTTGGAGTCACCATTGCTGATCCCTCAGAACTAAATTCACAAGTAAAGAGCTGACAAGTTTATTAGTCGCGAAGTTTTTGTTTCCAGAAAGAGTAGTATAGGACACACTGCAGCTAGTTGCACTGACATTACCTGCAATGGTGCGCTCTAAGAGGTTTGATCGAGTTGCATTTGTGACAATGCTTGATCACCGCATTGTCAGTCTCCTCACAGTCCTGCAGTGCAGTGAATTCGCTTACACCTTTCGGGACTGTGCCCTGAGCAAACAAAGAGGCATCCAAACAAAGTTGTGTTTGTACATGTGAGCAAGAGGTAAGGGTTGAGCCTTGATGGAGCCCAGTCAATCTGTACCTTTGCCGATCCAATAAGCATCCGCACACGCAGCATACAAATACATGCCTACTGCCGGGTACACACAAACGGCTGATTGCAGTATGTGACGGAGTCCGTGAGTGATAGCGCACAGAAGCCAACCAGAGTTGGCAGATCATTCTGCAAGAGAATTCTTGTTCCTGTATCTTCCCAGCAATAATGAGTCTCAGGGAATTTTCTAGAACCGCCCCAACCGGTTTTCGACCGGTTGAAATTGTTGGCGACCGGTTGAAAAGTGACAAATCAGTTCCAACCGCCCGTACTTTTCTGTGGGTGAATGGAGCTGCTTATATCTTTGCTAAACTCCAGCACCAAGAAGTCTGTTAAATTGCTGTCGAGTGCCATATTTGGGTTGTATTTTGAAAAATTTTTCCGGGGGACCCCGACTCTTCATTGGACCGTAACCGGTTGGAAATTCGTCCTAGAATATACCCTGAGTCTTAATGACTCCTATCGGGTGCCCACTTCTAGGAGACTAGCACTATGGTCTCGCTCCTGTGCTTCTATGGCCTGCTACCCAAGCATGATCTCACAGCTGATAGTAGTGGGTGTGCCAGTTATATGGATGAGAGAGGATGGGGGGGATTAGCACAATGTCATGAACATTGCAAATCCCAACACGATCAATATCCTGCAAAAATCAAGTGCACTGCTTTCTATTCTGTGTAAATCTATGACTTATAATTATATTATTCTGGTGGTCAGGGCCTAACCGGATCGGTCAGCATCGTTCTGACATGCGAGCAGGCAGCCAAAAACACCAAGCAGACGAAGATAATATACTGGAATAGCGTCCATGCTGTTGGGTACGGTAGGAGGACAGTCAACGTGGTTGCCACCACGCCGTACAGAAGCAACAGGTAAGTCGTCACGACGCAGGCAATTCCACATGTATCTCGCACGCACCACAGCTTCTCCTCCGACTTCAAGAAGCGGAAGCAGATCTGGAACATGGTCTACGTTCAATTGCAACAACTGTTATCATCGACTAGCTGGAAGACTATCGAGGACGCATGGTGTGTGATCCACGCAACAGGAGTACAATCGGTATTCTGCTCACGAGCTCCTCATACAAAACATAACACTACATACCTAGAAGCTAGAAATGGTGGATCATTGGTGGCAGATCTCCTTGACTCTTGGTTAGGAATTAGAATGTTTTCAGCGATCTTCTTCCTTTTCTTTTGACTCTGAGTTTTGTTTTTTGAACGGAGGGGTGTCATCAAGGAGTCCTAAAAAAACAGTTTTTTTAGTACTTGTGGCCTGATCTGCTGAGAGTGAGCTGAGGTGACAGTCATGATGATGACAGTGACTTGTAATGATGGGAAAGCCGGCTTTCACGACTCCCGGTCTAGGGGCCCGGGCACGGGCCGGAGGTGACGACGCGGTACCCACGAATGAAAGAAAAAGAGAAGCAAAGAAAAAAATATTTGAACGAGAAAGTTTCGAATCCGTTGTGAAATGTGTTTGTGTATGTAACCGTTCGACTGGCCTGTCTTCTCCAAGTTAGTTCAAGCTCATCTTGGATGCTACACTGTCAATCTGATAGCTTCAAAGACTCTTTGTGGCAGGAAAGATGACCGTTTCGGATGACGATCAGGGTGTGTCACTGTACGTTGGTGGTCTCAGTGACAAAGTTACTGAAGAGCTACTCTGGGAACTTTTTGTCCAGGTAAGGCCATATCGAGAAAGTGTTATGTTGTATTTATCGTGCATGAACTTCACGAGACGATGGCCGTGGTACAATGGACTAGTTGGGAGCAAGGAATCCAGCTGGCTGAGCTGAGTAGGCACTGGCACCAGTTATTTAGCCAGTTGAGATGCTCCTGCAGGTTTTTACTTCAAAAACAAGGAAATCATGCATTTCAAGGTCATCATAGTGCCATCTTTCTCCTAATAATAGTAATATCATACCAATACCACTGAAAGAAAAAGAACCAAGGAACTACAAGTTACACTATAATGTCCACTAACACCACCAGTTACTAAACAATCAGCTCATTCGATAACACTGCACGACACTGACCGACGGTACTGACATTCTACAAGTGGACATTATAGCGTAACTTGTAGTTCCTGGGTCCTTTTTCTTTCTTATAGATTAAGCCTTGGCTCTCCATCCGAGTCCAGCACCACTGAACCACTGTAGTATCAATTAATGTGAGCATGGCATTTGAAAAGCATATCAATATCCATTATCCACCCACCCTAATTTGTTGGCCTAGACAATACTGGAGGACTCCAGCCGAGCGTTTCTTGAACAATAGGGCTTGAAAGTGATGACGTCAAAATGGCCAGGGAGTAGTAAGTTCACATTAGATTTCTACTTTTGGATCCACTAAGGTGTGACTTTGCTATTGCCTCAGTATGTGGGTGCATAGCAACCCACTCATGTCGTATGCAGGTGTGACTTTTACTTCGCCACCAGTTGTCACCCCGCCCCCACTAGCCAAATCAGTCAGTTTCACTGGCTACATCACCTTGCTGTGAGTAAGACCGCTTGAAATGTGCTTGGATCCATACAAAAACTGGATCCAAGTGGATCCAATTTTTGAATTTTTGAAATTGTTGCTATGCTGTGACGTAGCACTTTCAAGCCCTATGGGCGTCCAATAGCGGATGTGCTTTCCTCGAGGTCGCCAATGACTGCAGTACAGTCTACTCGTGATATGTTACGCACTCGCGATAAGTAGTGGTCAAACGGGCGCCTGGGTACCCGAGAACCCGCTCCCTAGATGACCGACCCGAAAGTACGTGTAATCGGGCACTCGATACCACCTGGAAGTTGAACAAAATTACGCATTTCAACATTTTACAGGGAAGTGCGAGCAGTTCAGACGAGAAACACGATCAGTCAGTATACAGTACAGTCATGCATGGGGGGTTTGCGCAGGGCTCTCTGAACCAAGCGAATACATCATCATCATCAACGTGACCGCTACTCCTTTTTCAGGTAATGTTCTTCTTGTGCTGCAATCATGTAGTACTCGTATTCAGTTAGCTCTTAGCCAGTGAGAGTCAGAGCACTGCATCTGACTCCGTGTGTGCAATTCGTTGTGGTAGCCACAGTAACATTGTAATGTCATGCACGTCAGGACCCTCCAGGTGTATAAAATCAATGAACTAAGCATAGCCTGATATACAAACCCAGGGTGCAAGTGTGATTGAGGTGTAATGTATCAGCTTATAGGGTGCCCGAAACCCGACCCGGTAGTGTTGGGACTCGCCCGATAGCTTTTAGGGTCCCCTTTGACCACTAACCTAACAATAAGTCACGCACTCGCAGTAAGTCATGCACTTTTGACTCCAGGATCAAGTGCGCGACTTTTCGAAAGTACCGTAAAAGCCCCTGTATACGCCCACTCGAAAATACGCCCACCCTCCGTGTACACGCCCAGTCAGGGGAAGTCAACACTTTTGTTTCAAAATAGCGCCCATGCCCATGTATACGCCCAGGTATGCCGGCAACACCAGTACATGTACAGGTACTGATACCCGAAACTTACTGCTATCGCTATTCCAAGTATACGTCCGCTTCCAAAATAACGCCCGTGCCCTTGAATACGCCCAGGAAATCGAGGCTGCTATTCTATACGCCCGGGGCCTATACACGGGCTTTTACGGTAGGCTGTATAATTTCGTTAGATTCAGTGAGATACTTTAAATCCTCAACATTATTACTGTGATGTGCACTATAATGAATCGTTAGGAACCTCCTCGTCAACGGAGATATCCAGGAAGTGTTTTACTCACAATTGGCGTTTCGCCATGATATATTTCAACTTTTGATAATAATGGTAATTCTTGTTACCATTCATGCACACACACACACACACACACACACACACACACACACACACACCTGGACCGGGTGGTCGATATACGTTGACAATGCACATAGCACGAAGCACTATATTGTCCTACTATACGTGTATCTCGAGTTCTCTGCTGTCCAGTCCTAGGTGCTATGTGTAGCACCCTCGGTATGCTCACTGAATTATACTGAGGACTCACTCCACCAGACCACGCATAAGCACAGGTGACCATGGGTTTGACTTTGATGGTCTGATGTTTGGAGCATGGATTCACTATTCCGTCACGATCCATTTCAGTTCTATACTTCGCAAGCGCCACTAACTGGAAAATTTGCTAAGCCAATAATTGTTATGGAATCAGCTAAGCTACCAAGGAAGTATCACAATCGTTTACCCCTAGCAAGAACTCACGCGTAGTAGCGAAACTAGGCATCCCAGCACGCAGTCTTTGGGAAATGGAAACCATGCTTCCGCAGCGGCTGCTGGCAACTCTGCCTACCAGGAAATCCCTTCTTCCAAAGACACTGCTATCACGCCGGGTCATCCGATCATTCCAAGTGCACTCTTTTCACCTCTGCTGACACATAATCCCAGTTGTTTGGTCGTAGAAGTACAGGACTTTTACTTCCTATCTGCTATTTATAGGACATTGAAACCATTGGCTCCATGTTTTTTTGTCTTCCCGTGCACCCAGGCTGGTCCAATAAGCAGCATCAAATTACCGCAAGACAATGTCACAAAGAAGCCTAAAACATTCGCCTTTGTTCATTATACCCATGCCATCTCGGGTGAATACGCCGTGGGCCTCTTCAACGAGACATCCTTGTACGGTCGGAATATTGTGGTCCGTGCATCTCATCGTAATACCACTCGTAAGTAACAACGTGTTTGCCTCACACACAGTAACTGATCTTTGGGGTTTTTTCCTTTTTCCTGTTGCCCTGTCGCAAAAATGTTTCTGTAAGACCAGATATTTTAACGTCAATTAAAGTTCACGATCCCTGGAAATTTGTTGGTAAACGAGGTGAAATGTTAACGAATTCTGTCTGTCAAAACTGGCGAATGACTGTACACGACACGTACTTCAAAGTACATTGTTTTGGTCTAACAGTACATCATCTCTGCCTGCCCTCCCAAACCAACAGTGTTTGCTCTGCCACATGACGTGAATCCCAAGTCTACACAATCATAATTCTACAGAAGAACCTTGACTACCGGTCACAGTGCTCGATACACAGCGTGCAGAGCCTAGTACACACAAAAATCCGGTGGAACAAAAAAAGTGATTAAATGTCTCTACTCACGAGTTCCATGCTGAAAAGCAATCATCAGGAGACTGGGGCTATAGTCGGGGTTATGTGGTCTTATTCACTATAGGTGTTGTCCCATGGCAGGTATGCAATGCTAGTGCAATCATAATTCTACTTAGTAGTTACATATGACATTTGTTGGTTGACGTGCGATTTGGGCCTGGACCCCCACCCTGAACTGTGTTTGTTCTGGGAAGCATATTTAGCGAAACTCCATTACTGGTATGCCCTTACTGGCCTTAGCACCCATGCAACACAGTCATATCGACCCATGTTCCCAAAAGTAGTCGCGGTTGAGTTTCGATTGGGAAGGACAGCAGTGTTGGCTCGCTGTGTATTTGGGCGAGCGTGTGTGCGTACATGTGTGTGTGTGCGTGCGCACGCTTGTGTTACTCTTTTTCACCCCCCCCCCCCTGCAAGCATGGGACGGACAGTAGTTTTTTCTTCAGTTCCACTAGCCACCCCTCCTATGTGTTTATTGCATGTACTTGATACTATATGTGCACACTCTCTCACCAGAGCAGAGTAGATGGAGTTGTTGCGTATGTAGTCATTGATGGCTATTGTGTCTGCCCCTCTATCATGTACATGTATGGCCCTGATGCTGAAATTGCTCAAGACCCAGAAATCAGAGTTGTTGTTTTGGCCATTTTGCCTTTTGGGGCCGTGTCCTTCTTCGTTTCTTTGCAGCTGCTGCTTCGCCGGCTAGTCCGTACACAGCTGCCAAGGCCCAGCTTGCAGGTTTGCAGCAGCAGCTGGTTCAGTCTGTGAATCTCCATCCGCAGACGCCCATGCACAATATGCAGTCAGCGTCGTCTCTCTTGGGCACTTACTCAGGTGGTCCTGCCCGCCAGCCAATGCCGATACCGTATCACACGCCGCCGCGGCATGATGTGGCCACGCCGTCACCACGATTAGAGCCTCCGCGCCGCCATTCTGCGTCCCCGTACACCCCCGATCGCCAGCAACTGCCGCCCCACCAGCCCCACAGCAGCTCTGTTCACTCGTCAGATGGACACAGCGGTAGCAGACGCTCCACGGACTACGATCGGCCGGCAGAGCGGCGGTATTCCCGGGATGATCGAATGGACCGACGTGATAGCACTGAGGCCAGCTCTACCAATCGTGACCGTGGTCATCCTTCACCAGCCAGTGCCACATATCCACATGCCGGTAAGATGATAGTTTGCGTTTGTTGTTGTTTTTGTTTTTTTTTGCCCTGCAGTGCTTTGCCTCTCAAATGCTATAGTAATTAATTTTTTAATTTATTACATATACATGTATGAGATGAACAGTTTCAGTTGATATGTTGATATTACCGTAAAGTACCGCCAGAGCGCCCCGTCTCGCGAGAGCGCCCCACCTTGATTTACAGCCAGGGAAAGGAAAATCGTATAGCAGAGTGCAACGAAGTTTGTACGATGTGAGAACCTTAGTGTACTAAGCGCACACTTGGCAGGTTTTTGTGTGGAGCTTGTGTCAGCTCGAAGGTACGGATTGACTGCAAAATGTGGAATATGTGTACAAGGTTCGTGTCGTATGACCTACAGACAGCAGACCACCTCCATGAAAGGACGAGATGGTGGGGCGCTCTGGCGGTACTTTACGGTACTGCAGTACACTGTAAAACCGGGAATATTTGGTGGAGATTTATTTTTGGTAACATCGGTACAGGTAATTTTACTTGCCCCAAGTACACAAAATAAAATTCGACCATGCCATGCGTCACATGTGTGCAAAATGCTTTTATGGATCTGGAAAACTTGTTTACCGAAATTTTCTCGCTATCGAACCATTGATTTTGGGAAATACCGAAAATATTACACCACCGAAAACCGAAAATTCCCGGTTTTAAAGTATGGTTTTGACTGCCTTCATACTGATAGATGTGGCCAGTGAAAGTGGTTTTAAAAATCTGTTTTCAGTGTGCTATGGTAAAATAGGCTGACCCTTGCACGTTCTACCACGGACCAGGTGGTTGCTGAAACCGTGGTTGCTGAAACCAGGAGGCTGCTTGACCAGATTCACCCGTGTCTCTCTTGCTATTGTTGTCCCTACAGAATCACATCGCCCGTCACTCGGGTATGAGGATCGTCATCATGACAGTCGCCGTCCGGATGAACGACGGTACGATGATCGTGATCGCCGTGCCGACGATCGTCGCTATGACAGCCACGAGCCGCCGCAGCACGCACAGCGCAGCGCCTACCAGGCCCCCCGGGACAGCGGTGGGTATGGTTTCACACCCGACCGGCAGCAGCCCGCCTCGTCTCGCTACCACCCGTACAGCAGTGGACGTCCCGGTGAGCAGCATCGACACCCGTCGTCGCAGCAGCCACCACAGCCCAGTGCAGCACCAGGCCCACACCGCCAGTACAACAACAGATACCAATACTAAGCGCATGGCGTGTACTTGTCTAGTACTGCTCTAGTTGTGTTGGAATCCAGGCACGGGGAACGGGCATGTCTTACTGGCTTCTATGCTTTGTTGGAAGCTCTCTTTATTGGTTTACTTGCCGTCTACAGTCTGCTGTACCGGTGTGAGCAAAGTATGCCAATTGCCATTGACACACTACACCTGCTGCGTATTGGCCTGTGCCGATCGCAACTGCTAGAAACTGCGTGCCCGCTTGGCAGTCGGTGCAGAAATCCGCCAACCCATCACCACTGGCCATAGCCAGTGCAGTAATAATGTGGACACACATCAATCTCTTCAGACAGACTCTCGCTGTCTCAGTGCTCAGTTGTTATTTATATTATATGCATTATTCTTTCTCAGATACACGCAATATGGCATTTCTGTCTGAAATTTGTACGTCAAAGTAACAACAGCCTTCATCCATTGTCTTGTCTATTCTGAAATTTGTTTCCTCTCATTTGTAAGTATAAATACAATCATGTTCGTGGTTGAGTTACACATCGACAGTACGAAACCCACATCAAGGTGAATGGAAAATTGAAATATCCCAGAGGCATCAATAGACTTCAGCGTTGCAAGAAACCAGACATGGCGGAGCAGCAACCAATATGCAACACTCCAATCTCCTCACAGCAGTACACGTGCACCTAGCTCAATAAAGCGGGCAGATGTAGTTGAAGTGAACAACATGCCTTTACCGGTAGTCAAAATATGTGCACGACTTCGCCAGTGCTTGCAGCCTATCTCACATGCTAAATATAGCACTGGGCACACAGCTGCGCGTGGCCTGCCAACAGAGCGCCCTGGCCCTGCCGTATGGCAATATCTCAATCACATGGCCTCAGGCAGTCATGCAAGTCGTCTGAGGATGCATGCACGCTCAATCGTCGCTCATCACTTGGATCAGGTCATGTGACTTGGCAGCAGCAGCTGAAGCGGCGGCGTGCCACTAGCATGGATGGCCGCAGCACCCACTCGTGTGTGTCATCGTCGTAACTCTCCACGCTGCTGAGATTGGCAACGCCGTTGTAGCCTCCCAGCACGTACAGTGAGCCACTGATCACCGCTACGCCCAGGCCACTGCGGGCATGGTTCATGTCAGCGATCATGGTCCACATGTCCATGTTGGGGTCGTACACCTCTGCCGAAGCGAACACAACCAGGCCTGCACTGCCACCGACAACGAACAGACGGTCCGAGATCACTGCGGATGCAGCCATGGATCTGGATAAGTACAAACACGCATACGGTGTACACAAACAAAAGAAAAAGCATGTTCATATTGGAAAGGTTTGCTCCTATGGAATTACATACTGCACACATGCATGTGAAAAGGCTTCGGATGACAGTGTGCGAATTCTTCATGTACGCGATAGTCTTAATACATGATAATTATGCCAAATAACGTGCAACTAGACTTGAGAGGGCAGTGCAGGGAAGTTGCATACAAAGTTCAAAGTGGTACGGTTACCTGTGACTTGTGCTCCTGCAGAGCTTGGGGCCTACCATGCACACGCCGGTTATAGTACAGTTTGTATGCAACTGGTGTGCAATGCCCTCCCAAGTCTCGTTGCACGTTATTTAGCATATCATCTATTTGCAGCATTCATGAGTTAATAGAGAGGTTCCGGGGTACGATTTTCCGTGCCAAAATCCGTGTGGGCGCTACGGATTTTTTCCAGGAGTGCTCCATACGATTTTTCGGCACGGAGAATCCGTGTGGACTGGCTTTCACACGAACCATGTTTCGTATGGAGATTTTGCGTCATCGGGTGCAGAAAGATTTTTCGCGTACAAATTTGGTACGAGAAACATGGATTTTCCGCGGGAAGTTTTGATTTCGGTACAAATTTTCAAAATAAAAAGGCATAGCGCGGGAATGTGACGTGTTTGCGATCGTAACCTAGGCAATGACGGCAAACACATAAGTTCCGTACTCCGGAACATTTCACTGCTCGAAAACGACGTATAAAAAATCCGTAGCGCCTCCACGGATTTTGGCACGAAAAATCGTACTCCGGAACCTCCCTAATACACCAAATTACGTGGTTTGGCTTCTTTGTATGTACTTGAAGTACAAAGCTGCTAGTCCCACACAACACTTCAAGATTAGCAAGAGTATGGGGTTACGTGTTGTTGTATTCTTTATTTATAGTGGTAAATCCCAAACAGACAAAAGCCTAATGACACTGGACCCACTTGGGTAAAGCAATAGTGAGTGTGTGCGGTGGACCAGGTCTATAGATACTAGTACCGTATGATCTCCATTATAAGCCCCGCGCTTATATTTTTTCAACAAGTCCGGACCCCGGGATTATATTGGAAACTGGGCTTCTACTAGCAGGGGCGTAGCACCCGCTACGACTGGTACGACCATGGCCGTACCACTTTTCGAAAAGTAAGGTCCGTCCGGAACGTGCAAAACCATAATAAAAAAATCAGGATCCATCGATGCCGCATGTATGCGCATATGCGCATCAGACTTTGACCTTTTTCTAGACTCGTACTCGTAGATCTGCCATGCATCTGTGCCATGTCCATGCACGTCTCTTCTGACCGTGAAATTATGACTTTATAAACTGTGCCAGAAGTTCCCAGAACGCAGAATGTCTTTTTTACAAAATTTTCCCGGGGGAGGTCCCCCGGACCCCCTCCAAAACACCTTCGGCCGCACCGACCTTCAGTCGTACCACTTCCAAAACCCCTCCTACACCCCTGACTAGAGACTGTGTTTATAATTTTTCAGCCACCTGGTACATGTATATTGCCTCGGCGGACCTCGGTCTTTTACTCGGCCTATATTTCCCATATAGACCTCGTCTTGGTCAATATTCTATACTTATTTTATTTTTCATTATATCAGTAGCACAAAGTTTCCCAGCACGGCAGCAGATACCGGGTTTTGTGCTTCCTGGTACACTGAGTCCGAACTTCTGATCTTGGGGATCATGGACTTTTACCACAGCAAGTGTTTATGTGATACTGTGTGACGTCAAACATGCATGGACATGGTCCATACAGCTCTCCATTATAAGCCCTGCGCTTATATTGGAGACTGCGCTTGTATATCTTCAAAGCCCTCTTAGCGTGCGCTTATAATAGAGATAATACGGTAACTTTGCGATGTACTCTTGGTATTAGCCCACAGTGTGTGCGTCGGATGGGGGTTCACAGCGTACGATACCCACGTCGGTTGCCTTGCTTCCCCGTATTGTACTAATGAATCAACAAAGTGACCGCCTATCCGTAGAAACAGGTTTGCAAGGATGCAAGCGTTCAGTCATCGCCCTACCTTTTCTCTAGCATAGGGGCGACGGACACCCAGCGACCCTGCTCCATCTCGTAGCGCTCGACACTACGCAGATCGTCTGATCCATCATAGCCCCCGATGGCATAGATGCAGTCGTTGAGCAGTGCGACAGTGCACATAGAGCGTGGTGACGTCATCGGCGGAAGAATCTTATGCTGTCGTGTCTGCACGTGGTACGATTCTGCCGAACTCAGACAGGTCGTTTGCCCGTCGTACCCGCCGATGAAGTAGATAGTGTGGCCAGCGGCAACAGCACCAACACTGCTACGCTTCTCGAGCATCTCCCCCGCTTCACTCCATACGTTCGTTTCAGGCTCGTAGGAAACGATATCTGACAGCGCGTTGAAGCCGTCTGACCCACCCGCCATGTACAGAAGATTGCCGACTAGAACAGCACCGGCGCCACGGCGAGGCTTTGTAATCGGCGACACTGCCTCCCAGCTGCCCACCTGCGAGTCGAACTTCTCCGCGTCGCTGATTATGTTTCGCCCGGGGTTCGTCTCCCCGCCGATCGCAAAGACGATGCCGCGGCAGGCAATGGAGTGCCGCAGGCGTCTCCAGGACTTGTGCCGCTGTCCCATGGCGTTCCACTCGCCCCACTTGGCGTATTGCAGCAGCGTGGCGCACTCAGGCAGCTCGCGCAGGAACTGCAGCTCCTCGTCGCAGTCCAGGCACGCCAGGCTGGTGGCCGGCATGCACGGCCAGCGCACACAGTGCAGCACTCCCGCCGCCAACCTGGCGTGCCGCGGCCACTCGTGTCTTAACCACTGGATGCACGCGTCAAACACGTCCGTCTCGGACCGCACCACCAGCTCGTCCCGCGTCAGCAGCTCACGCAGGATTTCCACAGGCACCTGAAGGTAGTCCTCGGACGATACGATCGAGAAGAAATTGCGAGCGGCAAACTCCATGGCGCCCTCGTAAAGGGTCGGCAATGCCAGGACCTTGCCGAGAGCCACAACACCCAGACAGTTTGCAGTGTCTATGTGTGTTAGCAAGAACTTGACGCAGATCTCCATGACACTGTTCAGTTGCAGTAGGGAAGCAGCTGTCAGCAGTACCTGAACATTCGTCTCGTCTACCTGTACTCGGCCAGTGTAGAGAAAGTTCACCAGCATTTCCAACGTGTCCCCATCGACACCAGGCAAACTTATCTTGCTCTGGGCGGACTCCTTGAGACCACCCGTGAGCATGGCGCGGAAATACGGCGTCCCTGCGGCTAGGACAGCGCGATGCGCGCTCACTGTCCGGTCGTCGCTAGCGACCAGGACAACATCACACAGCTCGGAGCGGCTGCGAAGATCACACAGGTCATTCAAAATGGTCAGAGCATGGGCCAGCACGCCTGCGTCTGCTCCAGTTTCGCCATCCAGTCCTGTTGAGCTGCTGGTAGAGGTTGTTCCAGTGTGTATAGAACTAACACTGACACTGGTAGGGGATACGATGTTATCCATTCCTGGAATATCGAGTGTATCAACCAGCAGGCAGCAATCTTACATACCGGTTATCATTTTCCAAATCAACAAAAGGCTGAGTCTAATGTAATCCTAAAATGCAGCTTTGTCCATCGAACCAACCGTACTTGCTGGTCCGGTACAGGGACACATAGGGCGCTACGGATCACCCGCAGCGAGTGGTAATGGTTGATCTCCAACCTTCGAGAATCTCACAAACCCCTCCGTACCTAAGTCCTTCCTTCATGTTGATGGACATCCTACTCCACCTTCATTGATGACTGAGTCTCTGCTGGAATTGGTTGCTGTGCTCGACACTTAGTTACTACTACTACTAGTATGTAGAGTCTACCCACTCATCGACATCCGGTGTGCAACCTGTGCAAGGCAGTGCAAGTGGCCAGACCTAGATTCTACACAAAAAAAATACCAGCCAGGCTAGGCGGAGGCCATGCTAGTCGGGGATCCAGGACAAAAAAAAGTGTCTAAATCTGAAAGTGGTCTGCCACTAGAATCCGAGTAAAATCGAACTGTACAGGTGGAGAGAGTACCTGTTGTGGAGTCGAATGGTAGTTGTTGGCCCGTCTAGATCGGGGAAGGAGCTCCGCGAGAGGCAATTTTAGTTCAGCTTCGTCGGTCACTTGAACTGCTCACCTTTCGTCTCGGGCCGATTCTGAGTTGCGTAGAGTACGCACATGACAACCAAATGCAGTCAAATTTGAAAACTCAAAGCGAGTGTCTGATCTGGTCGGCGACTTCACTTTGTTGTTGATCATATTCTTGGTCAAGAAGTTTACTCTCGCTCTTGTAGAAGTAAAGCACAGGGACTTCGTAAGCCTAGCCTAGATATCGTTTGGTCCTTCCACTACCCACTCGCAATGGCAGCCAACAAACTACCCGCCGTGTCGTGTAGTTTGACGCCGCTTCGCGAGTGATCTCAAATGTTTTCTTGATTGGAATTTCGTTGATACGATCGATACGAGGGACACCTTACCTATCATTCTGCAAAGGTAAGCTTGGACCCTTTCTCTGCTTCTCTCTCAGGCACACACACCTTCAATAGCACTCGATTAAATTAGAGTTAGAGAAGACTAGAAATGATATAAACGCATTGTAGTCACTACAAAATCGAAAATACTACAACTGTAGTAAGGAAGACATGTCCAGTGCTGTGCAATTCATGGACAATATGCCCAGTTTAATATGTAAATTGGAATAAAATGTAGGATGATAGCGTCATCACTTTAGTAGCCAAGCTATGTACAAGCAGTTTATATACAATGTTTGAACAGGTTAGGTGTGTTGACAGCCATAGCCATAATTCACAAACACAATGGGTGGCTTGGACCAGGGGAGGACGGTGCAGTTGCCAGTGTCTACAGCGAGTCGTCAAACTCCTGATCTGGATCCTCATCAGAATCTGAGCTGGAGTCAGACTCTTCAAAGTCGTCAGCACCAGTACTTTCCTCGCTCTCACTGTTTTGGTCGCCTTCACATGCAGTTGTTCCCACATCTGCGGCACCGGAGCTGTCGTTCTGTTCGAGTACGGCCCCAAACGGATTGGCGCATGAGCAGCACGAGCAGATGTCCGTGCAAGCCAAGGACGCCTTCTTGCACGAACAGTGCTGACTTACGCAGTGCCTTGTCTTGCACCCACAGCTCACCAGTTTTAGTATGTCAGCAGGAGCGACGCGCTGCAGCATCCAGGAGATGGAAAGCGTGCCGTCAGTCTCCGACTGCCAGCCATGGCCCACTGGACTCGGTACTTCTGGCATCGCAGTGGTGGCGCTCCGCCAAATGTGGGCCTGGTAGTTAGCCCTGGCCACATGTTGATGGAGAGCGTCGCGTGAGGGCGGTAGTTTGTGCGGAGCACAGGATGTGGCCGCACAGAACTTTTGGTAGCGCTGGCTGTTGATGTCTTGCTGGCCAGGATTGCCATACAAGGCACACGCAAACCACTCACATTCAGAAAGCAGCTGGTCATCCGATGTAGCATTGACACCCAGTGTCGCCAGTGCCTCTGCCATTCGCGTGCTTGACAGGAGCAGCTTCAGCGGAGCAGTCTTTCCCTTCCCAGAAAAGGAACTGACACTGTCACACCCAGTAAGAGCATGCAGTCCAACAATTGCAGACGAAACCAGGGGGCCCAGCTTCTGTGACAGCTGGGTAAGGTCGATGAACCGCCTCCGTTGCTGCGTGCCAGTCTGGAATATGAGCCGACCGGGAATGCTGCTAGCGGAGCCAATGGCAATCACGGCTACATCCGTGTCTGGCGACCGAATGACAACATCTGGGAATCCTTGCTGCACAGCATCAGCGGCATGAAGGATCAGCCGGGTGTCTGCTTCCTCATGATTGCTGGTCAACCTGTGAACATGATCAAAATTGTAAAAAGAGCAAAATGATTTCCCGGGCATTCAGAGAACGATAACATGGCTCTGCCAGATTATGTGATTTTCATCACCGAATTCAATCCATCAGCAATATCCTACTTGTACTTGTGGGACCAATATGCAGCAAATGTTTTATACCACTTGCTTGACAATAGTCAAAGTCGCAATAAACATGACATTGTACTGTTTGTCTTTTATAATACTAACCTGGACACCTGGTGCCGTGAAAGTGTCGATTTCCCTTCTTCTTCTTGCAACACGTAGCACTGCTGTCCCACGGTTATGAATACACTGCGACTGACACCCAATGTTGCCTTGAGCTCCGGTGTAGAACTCCAATGGTCAGCGAAGAACTGGATTAGGCCGGCCTTATTCGCTCCGCTTGCCATGAACCGCTTCCACTGAGTAGGAATAGCCTGGTCTGGACGTTGTACTGCCACTCGCAGGGGCTCAGTTGAGGCCGTTCGCTTTGAGCGCTCGCACGACTTAATCGACGCAGTGTGGTATTGATCTGCTACGAAGTCAACTCGTGCTGGAGGTGTAGCTGGAAGGTAGGAGACTAGCTGCTTGAAGACTTGTTCGCTGAGCTGTCCGAATGTCGGTGGCGCAGATGTGTAGCTCTGCAGTAATGCCATCGCGTCGACCATAACAGCAGGACCACGCGGAACTGACTCCAGTGGGTCAACTTTCTTCTCAAGAGCAAGCAGCAGCTTACTCTTTGGAGTCTTCACAAGGGATCCGTCTGCGTTGGCCAGGGCCCATGGGACTGGTCCAAGCTCATGCTGGAAGAGTTCCTTCAAGTCGAATGACCTTGATTGAGCCATAACTAGTAGCCGGCCGAATAAGCTCCTATCTGCCACGATCGCTGTTGTCTTGGAAGACTTCTTTGCTGCAGATTTGGTTTCCGAGAACGTCTTCAGGTTCAGCCGTGATATCGGTGTGAAGAAATCAACTGCCTGTAGGAAGAAACAAGTCACGCATGCACACACACACAAATGGGTTGACAACTTAGAACGTAGTGCATGGATTACGGAGTACAGAACGGAATTATAACATCCCCTACAGCGTCACTTTTGATTTCAATGTGTTTGGTAACAAAGTATGTCACCAAAACATGCATCCTATCATATATCCACACGTCAAGACTTTTAACATGGTGTGCTGCAAAATCATAACCGTCTTACCTGACTCTCCAAGCGGTCTGCCACGAACTTGCTCATTGCACTCTTTCCCTGCGTGTGACTGGATAGGAGATCGGAGGTTGCTTGAGCAGAACAGACTTTCCCACTGGAGAGGCTGATCAAATCTTCACCAAGGAACGGATGGCTGAACTCTGCCAACCGCTTTTCGAGCTTCCCATAGTCGCTTTGATCCCGTTTCATTCTGCTGTCTGTGTTGTCCTTGTGTGGACGTGCTGTGCCATCATAGTCCTCCGCTTTGACGAGGTCGTTACATGCACTTGCAACAGCCGCTCGCTCGTGAGCTGTGAGCACCCAGCGGTGAACAGTTCCTTTATAGGACAATTATACAGAAAAGGGAAGGAGAAATACATCATCATGTACATGTAATCCACAACTGTTCAGGATCACATTAGAGTCGAATCATTTCCTATTCGTGATGCAGGTGGGCAGCACTGTGTTTGCATAGTGTACATTGGTTGCTTACTGTTTGATCTTGCATGTGGGATCATCAGGAAGTATCTCCCCATCAGTGTACATGTATGTTCTATTGGATAATTTGAAGTTTGGTCAGTTGTTACGAATTTTTGCCCTTACCTGGGTTGCGGCTGAAGCCAATGAGTCCTCCATGTGACTTGCTTTGCCGGTTGATGGTCTGTTCAATGCACTGATCAACAGCCACCTTCGAGAAGCTGTTCGTAGACCTTGCAACAGAGAAGCAACCTCCTGATAGGGCTTTGTGGGCAGGAGGGTTGGTAGCAGGCAGTTGACGCATTTGTTGCCAATACAGCGACAGGTACCTGTGAAGCACAATGTAATGAGAACTCAATTTAGGAGAACTGAATGATTCGTATTTGAAGCAAAATGTTTTAATTGCGTCGGTCACACAGCTGATAACTTAATGAAGGGCCCAAGCATCTCACCTGGAGTAGTTCTGTCGATCGTATGCAAAGAACCATGGCAACATGTTCTCTATGCATGCCAGATGTAGCGACCAGTTCCCTGTCCGCGTAGCTCGGATGAATTGAAGCAGCAGGCCAACCATGTCGAGGTATGTTAGCCAAAACTGGGCCATGGGTGATGCTGGGCTGGTGCGTTGCAGCTGAACATGCTTTCGGTACCCTTGCTCAAGTTTCTGGTAGCTGGATGAACTGGTTACTGACTCAGCACCATCAAATATACCAGATGTGCGCAATGCTGACAAAGTTCCTTCAAGATCGCTTGACACCGTGTCTCCTCCACCTTCAATACATGAACACACACGCACATGTACATAGGTCAGAAAATTAGAACACAAAGTGCTACATGCAGACCACTGGAGTGAGAACAACAGGCACCATTTCTCAAACTACTTCACTTCGTCTAGTGTGCACAGATGGAATGCAATAAAGAAAGTTTGCAGCACAACTCCTATGTTTCTGTCCCCTCACCTTCAATGCTGTCCTCGTACAGCTTCCAGTTCACTCCCAGCAGACACTCAAAGGCAAGCTTATGGAGGCGAACACCACGGTTGTAATGCTTGCCGGCCATCACCTGCTTGCACGCATTGCTGCCAACTACGCCTGACTCGACGAGGAGGTCTTCCAAGCCAGCACTGCCAAACCTCTTCCCAAGAACAGCAAGGAAGGCACACGACGTATGGAATGCACCCATGCGGAGGACTACATCCTTCAGCTCAGCATTTTTCCAGCAAACTTCCACAGCTTTGGCATAAACTGCTTGGTCGGCGGTGATGATACAATGTGGCTGATTCAGCTTCTTCGATGTGCGGAGGGACCGGACAACAAGCTCATAAACTGTGCTCATGGCTGTAGGCGATGCTGGGATGATCGGCAGGTAACCGACTGTTGTTGGTGTCCTTGGCGCGGTTGACTGGTT